TTCTGATGCGACATTGCGATCATGTGCATTTCGCTGTGTTGTCTTGCATTGGAAGTATGGTCAAGTTTGGGTGTGTTTTTTTTTTGCCGAGGGGTTCTGAGATGCTCTATGGCCATTCGAGGCCATCTCGGAGCGGCCGCGTGGCTTATCGCGGGCGCGTCGGGGGCCATGCGGGGCAGCATCTGGGTATCTATAGCAATGTTTGGGGCGATACTGGGCGGGGCCTCCTTGGACCCCCCCGAAACATCTTGGGCTCTCTAACCCCTAGGGTTGCGCCCCGTCAAGTCCAAGTGGTCTGGGGCATTGGGGGGGGGAACCACCTCACCGAATATAAACAACGGTTGGAAGAGGAAGCGCCGAACCGCTTTCTCACAGAGGACTGGTTGGATTCCTCAAGGCTGTTGCCTTCCCCCCGCCCGCCCCCCGAGGCGCCGTGGCGACCAATTTCTCAGAGCCCAGCTCCGCTCGAACGCGGGACAGCCCCGCGTGTAAACATGAAAAACGGGAGGGGGAGAGCGGACGGGCGGCGGGTCGTCGGGCGGGTTTGGGCGGGACGGGAGGTTTTGCAAAAGAGCGACAGAAGGTGAGGGCGGATGGCCGAGTCGGCGGTGCTGGCTTTACCCTTTCCCACGCTCGCCTATCATTTCCATCTCGGCGCGTGACTGCCCCGCCCCTTGATCACCTCCCTCGTTGCGCTTCTCCCCTGCGCAACGTGCCTACTCGCGCATCCCCTCTACCTTCTCCCCGTCTTTCCCTCAATTTAGATCCCTCTCTCTCCCTGTATCCTTCTCTACTCCTCTCTCTCTCGCTCCCTCCGCGCCCCCCTCTTTCCCCGCGCGCCCTCCGTTCCTTTACGTCCCCCCTTTGGATATCCCCGATGCCCGCTCCCCTTCCTTTGGCCCCCCCTCCGCCCTCTAGAAGCATCTCCCCTCCGTGGGCCCCTTTCCGCCCTTCCCTTCTCCAACGCACATGTTACTTCAAGTGGAACCCACGTTTTTTGAGGTGGGGGATTTTCGATCGTCCGCGGATGGTTTTTGGAGGGTTTTTGGAGGGTTTGCTGGGGAAGGCGTTTGAGGGTTTTCGGAGGGTTTTGGTGTTTGCGGCCGCAATCTAGAGTCTAGCGGAGCATGGATTACATAACCCAGGGAGTCTCTCGGACCAAGTGGCGCCGTGGCGTTGCGGTACTAGACCCCCGCGACAGGTGGTGAGCTGCCCCCCCAGCCATCCCTGAGTGGGAGGTGCCGCTAAAGAGGCAGTGCCCGCGGCCTCACCAGACTGCTTACCCAAGCCACCACCACCACCACCACTCGCGACCCACCCGCGACCCACCCCACGACCCACCCCGCGACCCACCCGCGACCCACCAGCGACCCACCCGCGACCCACCCCGCGACCCGCCCGCGACCCACCCCGCGACCCACCCGCGACCCACCAGCGACCCACCCGCGACCCACCCCGCGACCCGCCCGCGACCCACCCCGCGACCCACCCGCGACCCACCTTCGACCCAAACCACGTTCAAGGTAAAAAACAACATTTTCGGCGCCTGCGGTGGGTTTTTTTTGAATTCCTTCCAGGTGGAGAGCCCGCGACCCACCCCGCGACCAACTCGCGACCAACCCGCGACCCAAACCACGTTCAGGGTACAAACCACATTTTTCGGCGCCTGCGGCGGGAATCTTTTGCCTTCGTTTTAGGGGGAGAGACCGCGGCCCACCCGCGACCACGTTCAGTGTACAAACCAATTTTTTGGGCGCCTGCGGCGGGCATCTTTTGCATTCGTTCCCGGTGGAGAACTTGCGGCCCACCCGCGACCCAAACCACGTTCAGTGTATACACCAAATTTTTCGGCGCCTGCGGCGGGTTGCTTTTGCAGGAGGACGAGGACGAGGACGAGGACGAGGAGGAGGAGGAGGAGGAGGAGGAGGAGGAGGAGGAGGAGGAGGAGGAGGCGGAGGAGAAGGAGGAGGAGGAGGAGGAGGAGGAGGAGGAGGAGGAGGATGGAGGAGGAGGAGGGGAGGAGGAAGGAGGAGGAGGGAGGAGGAGGAGGAGGAGGAGGAGGAGGAGGAGGAGGAGGAGGAGGAGGAGGAGGAGGAGGAGGAGGAGGAGGGGACGACGACGACGACGACGACGTCGACGACGACGACGACGAAAAGGAGGAGGGGGGAGGATCGGGAGGGGGGAAGAGGAGGACGATGAGGAGGAACATGACAACAATGGGAGGACGATGATGGAAGGACGAGGGGGGGAGAGGGAGGACGAGGAGAGAAGAGAGGAGGAGGAGGAGGAGGAGGACGAGGTGGAGGAGGAGGACGACTATGACGATGAGGACGAGGACGAGGAAGAGGAGGAGGAGGAGGAGGAGGAGGAGGAGGAGGAGGAGGCGGAGGAGAAGGAGGAGGAGAAGGAGGAGGAGGAGGAGGAGGAGTAGGAGGAGGAGAGCGCCATCGACAGGGAAGGTGGGGGCCACAAGGTCCGCCGGTTTGACGACGCCCGCGTCGCCCGCGCCCGCCCCCTCACTCTTATCCGCAATTGCGGGGTGCTATGTACACACCACCACCACAACAACCACAACCACGCACACACGCACGCACGCACGCGCACCACCACCCACTACGCACACGCGCGCGGAGCCACAGTTCCGCTACGACACGCGTCCGCGGATAGAGAAAATCAGCACCATGGTAAGGGATGGGAGGAAGGGTAGGATGTCAGATGTTGACGCGAGCGCACCTAACTTGTCCTCCTCCCCCTCCCCCTCCTCCTCCTCCATCCTCCATCCTCCATCCTCCATCCTCCTCCTCCTCCTCCTCCTCCTCCTCCTCCTCCTCCTCCTCCTCCTCCTCCTCCCCACGGACACCCACGAGGGCTCCGGGAGGAGCCCCGAGGCAGCCAGAGAGAGCAGGGGATGCAGACAGACAGCCAACCTCTTTGCGCCGGCGGCTAGGCAGAGCAACTGCGGTGGCGGAGAGCTAACTCAACGGGGGCACTGCTAAAGCGAATTGTGCCGCAACGCAAGAGAAACGGAAAAGGGGCAGGGCGGGCGGCCGGAGGGTGGGGGAAATTGGGGAAAAAGGTGAGGGCCGCGAGTGGCGCGGCCGGCCCCGCCGGCAGGGACAGTGGCGGCTGCTGCGCCGGGGTTTCAGCGGCGGCGGGGCGCAGCGCAAGTAACAGAACGAGTCCAGCGGGTCAAGGGTGCGATGCAATCAGAGGCCTGGGTCACCAGGCGGTGGCGCGCGTTCCCCAGGTGGGGGCGCGGGTTGGGCGTGTCCAGCAAAATGCTGGGCTGGCGGAAACGGCGGGCGGCAAGACCAAACCCAGGGCCCTAGCGCGGCGGTTGCAGGCAGCCACCCGGCGCCATGGTAGCGCGCGGAGGGAGGGAGAGCGAGCGGGGAGGGCAGAAGCGAACAGGGAGGAGGACGCCCCGCCTGCAGAGAACCCACAGGCGGGGCGGCGGCGCCAGGCAGCAGCGGCTGCGCCGGGCTGCACCACGCGCTGCGTTGAGGGTAAACTGAGGGGGGCAGCGCAGTGCCTCCGGCCAGCGGGCGGCTCGCGGGGGGCTCCCGCTGCCCGGGTGGACAGGGTGAGCCAGCCCGTGAGCGGGGCGGCCAGGAGAGTTGGCAACCAGCGGCGGCGCCCAGCGGAGCCGACAGTGAGAGGCGGCCCCCCTGTCCGGGCGGACAGGGTGGGCCGTTGGGGGGTGGGGCGAAAGCGGCGACCACCGTCGCCGTGGCCAGTCAAAACTGCGGCCGAAGCCAGCGCCCTCAGCCCAAACGGTCAAGGGGGGTAAGCGACGGGGGGCACCAAACTGGTGCGCGTCGATGGAAGTGTGAGGGGCGGTCCCAATGCCCTGGCGGACAGGGTGGGCCGTTGGGGGGGGGGGGCACGGGCGGCCACCACCGTCAATGTGGACAGCAGTGGGCGCGCCTTGGCTGGTCAAAACTGCGGGCCAAGCCCGCGCCCTCGGCCTGAGCGGGCAAGGGGAGCAAGGGCCAAGCGCCTGCCCGGGGACAGGGCGGGCCAAGGGGAGGGCCATGGGCCGCCGTTCGTCGCTAATCGAGGTGGGCAGTACGCGGCGCTCCGTGGCCGGGCAAAGCTGTGGCTGACGACGGCGGCCCCCGCTGCACGGGTGGACAGGGTGGACCAGGTCGGGGCGCCGAATCGGCGAGGGAAGGTGCGGGGCTGCATTGGCGGAGGAAGCGGCGGAGGAAAGTGGCGTCGCGGGCGCCGCCGCCGCGCAGAGCGCAGCTCACCACCTGTTTGTTGCATATTCCTGACCGGGCCGCCAGGGCTCCCTTCGAGTTGAGGAAGTCGAGCAGGACGTGTGCTGGGACGTCCTCAGGGCGCGCCCGCCCACTGCCCTGCTTCTTGTAGTCCGAGGTGAACGAATCCCAAAGGCGCGGGTGTCCGGCGAAGCGGTACAGGTGTGTTTTTGACAAGGAGCAGGAGTTCACCCCGAGCAGGCGGAGGCGGCTCCCCTCGCAGACTGGGGCAGCCCTCGGTACTGGAGCCGCCAGCGTCCGTCCTGGCTGGGGAAGAGCGAGGGGGCCCTTGGACCACCATACAAACAACCTAGCTGGAAACAACAAAAAAAGAAGGGATCGCCCTCCCAGGTAAAGCACGTCGCGAAAACGTTACGGTGCCCGTCGAACGGAGAGGGCGAGAGAGAAGAGTCCCAGGACTGTTCCTGAGGCGGCGCTGCGCGTCACGGGGTTCACCGGCCAGGGCCTTGTTTCGACGCGATCGATCCGAGCCCAATGCGAACTCACCTGGCCCGGACCGATGCGATTCCTGTTTCCCAGCGACTCGATGCGGCCCGATGCTCGCGTGGCGTTGTTGCGCATCCTGGCGCAGCCGATCTGATTCGGTTTCGGCCCCGTGCCACTAACAGGCCGACCCGTCGCACCAGGATCCCGAGCCCGATGCAGCCGCCGCGGCGAGGACGCTCCAGGAGGCCCAAAAAGGGCCCATAAAAACCTCAACATGCCTCCCCCCCACAGGCGTTGCGCGTCATGGGCTTCACCAGCGGCCTGTCCTTCGTGGTGCCCCGGGGGCGGCCTGAAGGACGCCCGCTGCAGAGCGACGCCCTTCCCGCGGCGTGGGCGGGGGCACGCCCGGCAGGGCGCGCCTCTCGGGGGCGAGGGGCGCCTCGCGGAAGTGGCGTCTCCGGGAGCCCTGGGATGTCATGGCGTCGCAGCGCACGGGGCGACTTCGCCCTCACGGGGCCCCCCCAGGGCATGCACTCGGAGGAAGAAAAGAAGGAGTAGCGACACCGATGCCCTGCGCCCGCCTGCCCTGCTGGGGCCTCCTGGGGGGGCCCTCGTCGCCACCGCTGGGGTCGCCTCGCAGTGCTGGTCAGAACGCGCCCCGGGCAAGGTCGCGGGGTAGCGGTATGGGTACTTTTACGTCGGGCGTGCCCCCCTACAGAGGGACTTTCGACGAACAATAAAAAATACCAGACAATACCCCAAAAAAGGTAAAAAAATACTCCAAAAATAGTCTCCTGATCATTTTTGGATTATTTTTGGTATATTTTGTTGTTCGCCGAAAATCTCCCTGTAGGGGGACAGGCCCGACTTAAGGGTACTTGTGGGTTTCCCCAATGCGCGGGTCGGTCGGGCTCGCGAGGTGCCGCAGGAAGGCTGGGCTCGGCTGCGGCCGAGATGTTCTCTGCGTTGTTGCAGTTCTCTCGCGGCGTCGGATCTCCAGGAAGCGGTCGGTGAGGCCGCATGCCCCATGTCGATTCGACCCGATTCGATACCGATTTCGCCTGGCCCGATCCGATTCGATCTTGATGTTCCGAATCTCCGATATTGAATATCCGAAATCCGATTCGTGCAGCCTAGCGCAGCCGATCCTATTTGATTTCGTCCAGTGCCGATGCAGCCCGATCCGACACCCATTCCGATTCGAGCCGCTCTCCCGCCTTGATGCTGACTGTCCCTGCGTCGTCGTCGTCCCGGAGGGTTTTTGAGGCCTTCCTGGAGCTCCTGGTCGCCACGGGGTATTGTTGGTTCGACCTCGTCGTCGCTCTCGTCGTCTCGGAGGCTTCCTGAGGCGTACCTGGAGCTCCTGGTCGCCACGGGGCACTGTCTCGTCGATCTCGCGGTCGATCTCGCCGTCGATCTCGTCGGCTCGGAGGCGTCGGGCCTGGGCCGCCTCCCGAGGTGCCCGCCGCGGGCGGCCAGCACCTGGCGGAGGCCGAGGTCGCCGCGCGGCTGCGCGCCGCGCGGGCCAGCGAGCCGATGCCCGCGGTGTTGCCGCGGAAGTCGGGGGGGGGCAGCGTCGGGGGGGGGGGGTCGGCTCGACTACACGTCATCGTCATCGTCATCGTCATCATCGTCATTATCGTCATCAGCATCAGCATCAGCATCAGCATCAGCATCAGCATCAGCATCATCATTATCATCATCATCAGCAGCATCATCATCATCATCATCATCATCATCATCATCATCATCATCATCACCATCACCATCATCATCATCCTCAGCAGCATCAGCATCAGCATCAGCATCAGCATCATCATCATCATCATCATCATCATCATCATTATCTTACTATCATCAGCATCATCATCATTATTTTCATCATCAGCATCATCATTATCATTATCATCAGCAGCAGCATCATCATCAGCAGCATCATCATACTGTTCCTGTTCATCATCATCTTCAGATTTACTCAGCACCCCGCAGTTGCGAATAAGAGTGAGGGGGCGGCGGGGACGTCGGCAGTCTGCGAGGCTTTGAAGAAGCCCGCCGCAGGCGCAAAATTACCTAACAGCTCTTGCTGATAGGTTTCTAGTGGTCTCAAAAGAGAGCATCATGACTCCTCAGGGGGGTCTGGGCGGGACCCGGGAGCTGCCGCCGAAGCCGAAATCGCTTGGGACATCCTCGCAAAATCGCTCTTGGTGCTCCCAGAACTCCATTCCCGGGCCACATTTTGGATGCCCGGAGCCAACTGTAGGCCACTTCGTGCTCTTCGACTTCCCAGAACTCCATTCCCGGGCCACATTTTGGATGCCCGGAGCCAACTGTAGGCCACTTCGTGCTCTTCGATTTCCCAGAACTCCATTCCCGGGCCACATTTTGGATGCCCGGAGCCAACTGTAGGCCACTTCGTGCTCTTCAAGTTCCCAGAACTCCATTCCTGGGCATGATTTTGAATGCCCGGAGCCAACTGTAGGCCACTTCGTGTTCTTCTAGTTCCCAGAACTCCATTCCTGGGCCACATTTTGAATGCTGAGGCAGGCTGATGCTGCGGCCGAGGCAGGCTGAGGCTGAGGCAGGCTGAGGCTGAGGCCGAGGCTGAAGGCAGACTGAGGCTGAGGCTGAAGCAGACTGAGGCTGAGGCTGAGGCAGGCTGAGGCTGAGGCTGAAGCAGGCTGATGCTGAGGCAGGCTGAGGCTGAGGCTGAGGCTGATGCAGGCTGAGGCTGAGGCAGGCTGAGGCTGAGGCCGAGGCTGAAGGCAGACTGAGGCTGAGGCTGAAGCAGGCTGAGGCTGAGGCTGAGGCAGGCTGAGGCTGAGGCAGGCTGAGGCTGAGGCTGAGGCAGGCTGAGGCTGAGGCTGTGACTGCGACTGCCGTTGCCGCTGCGACTGTCATCGCGAATGCGACTACGACTGCGAGAACAGCAGAATTCTACAACTGGATTTTCATCTGAATCTTAAGGGGAATGCTTTCAGATATGCTTCTACATATCGCTGTTAGGTTGCTTTGCCGGGATAATTTTTCAAGCTATACAGCGAGCCCGCCGCAGACGCCGATTTTTCTTGGTAAAACAATGTTTTTGTGTCGCGGGTTGGGTCGCAGGTGGGTTGCGGGTGGGTCGACGGTGTGTCGCGGGTGGGTCGCGGGCCAGGTCGCGGGTGGGTCGCGAGCGGGTCGCGGGTGGGTCGCGGGTGGGTCGCGGGGTGGGTCGCGGGTGGGTCGCGGTTGGGTCACGGGGTGGGTCGCGGGGGGGTCGCGAGGTGGGTCGCGGGGGGGTCGCGGGTCGGGTCGCGGGGGGACGACACCAGCAATAAGCAGAAACCTCACCAGGGATCCGCATTTCAGCCACGCACCCAGGGACAAAGAATAACAAGTCGGCCCCTCACACTGGTTATCATCATCGTAATCATCAGCATGCTCATCATCATCATCATCATCATCATCATCATCATCATCATCATCATCATCATCATCATCATCATCATCATCATCATCATCATCATCATCATGATCATCATCATCATCATCATCATCATCATCATCAGCATCAGCATCATCATCATCATCAGCATCATCATCATCATCCTCGTCGTCGTCCTCGTCATCGTCTGTGTCATCATCGGTGGGGGCGTTCGTTATGCGACTACACGTGAGAGTGGCCTTTCGCCGGAGTGACTTTTGGGTGCGGGCCCACTGGGGTCCCCCGATCGCCGACCGCGATACGGTAGTGGCGTCTTGTACGCTTGCGCTTGGCTCCCCCAAAGCCGCGCACCCAAGGTCAATCTCACCCAGGGTCACTCTTGCGTTTTGTCGAACGATGGTGGGGGCGTTCGGTGAGGAGTGTGCTGCTGAATCGCATTGCCGTTGGTGCCGTTCTTGTAGGGGACTCCCGCCACTGGCTGTCAAGTGGTGGGGGCTTCATCATCAGCAGCAGCCCCGGGGCAGCGTCAGGAGGGGAAGCGCCGCAGTGGGGGCAACGTCATGGGCTAGACTACCGTCAAAACCCCTGGTAAGGATGCAAGGTAAGGGTGCAAGACCTCTGGAAGTCCCATCTGCCGCTTAGAGCACGTCAACACTAGCTCAGGATGGGAAGGGTAATCTCGATGAAGCAGCGCATCCGTACTATGGATGTTGACTGCACCCTGACGGGGGGGACTACCCTGGCTCATGCTCTTACGATGCGACCTGACTGCACGTAGCGCCAGCCACCCCCTCCTCCTTACATCCCTCATCCGCCATTTGCTGTTTTCCGTGACGTGGACCTTCAGGGCCTTACGCTCCTCCTCGTCGAGCGGCGTTTCGTCCCAGATCGTTGCTCGGTTGCCCCGGAGCCCTAGACCACCTCGTGGGCGCCCCTGCCCGACTCTGCATCAGCCTACCTCGGGCGATTCCGCAAGTGGGGCAGCAACTTCCGCCCTACGTTTTCAAGCGCCCATGTGATGTCGATCTCCGCCCTGCTTTGCCGCCGCTGTTTCCGCAATGCCCTTGCGGAGACACCCGCCCCACCTTTCTGGGGCGGACATTCCTGCCCCACTCGGCCGCATCGTCTGGGGCGCATGCCCGACAGTGTGCTTTCACCGGAAAGCCATCCAAAGCACGGCGGGTGCGGAGTCAGGGCAGCGACAGGTTCGATGCTCGAGGTGTCCGGGCATCTGCGTCGGACGTCGGCGGCGTCCCAGCCTCGGGGTGCCCCGGAGCAGGGACGACCAGCGCCGCATCGATGGTCGGCGGCACGCCCAGGGGGGGGTGGAAGCGGCGCGCCCCAGGGGGGCTCGAGGTGTGCGGGCGGTCTCGTCGGCTGCAGGCGGCGCTCCAGCCTCGGGATGCCTTGCAGCGGCTGCGCCGCCTCGCCTGGAGCACTCTTCCGGCGATCGCGCGCAGGGATTGAGGGGGCGTGGAGCGACGGGCCCCGCTTCCGTGGCAGAGCGCTGGCTTCCGCCGCCGAACGAGGCGGCAGCGGCCGCAGTTGGGGGACCCCGGTCCATGGATTTGGCGACCGCGCGCTGACTCCAGATTTCGTAATAAAGGGAGGGGGGTCTCATTTCGGGGGGGGTCTCTTCCAGGCTATCTTGGAGGGCCTGGGGGGGTCTGGGGACGATGTTTTGGAGGGTTCTCCCACGGGGGGAGGTCTGAAATGGCTTGTCTTGCAGGGTCCAGACCCCCTCCCTTTTATTACGAAATCTGGAGTAATCCATGGATCGCTAATCCATGTGTGCGCGCCCCCGAATTTTTGTGGGGTGTCCGGATCTTCCCGAGCGGCCGCGGGAGGCCCGAGTTCTGAGCCCAAGGCCACCAGGGGATGGGCTCCAGGGGGCTGGACTGATCGCCGATAGTCGGCAGTGGACCCAGACATGATCGCGTCGTAAAAAAATCAGGACGGGAGGTTTTTTCATATTTTCGGCCTCGGGGGGCCCCCGCCGGGCCTCGGGACCGTCAAAAAACGACTCAGGACGAAAAACCGGCCCCGGGGAAAGGGCCGGGACTTCCGGGGACGCCGTCCTGAAAAAATCAGGACGTCGCATGTTTGGGGACAGACCTCCCTTTAGCAAACCTCCCCTTAGGGAGAACGGCCTGGGACCGAAACCGACGGGACTGGGCCCGCAAAAGTGAGGGCCGCGGCGCCCTCTCGCGGACTGGAAGCGGCCCATCCCTTAGTCGACGTGTGACAGGGTAGGAGGTCTATCAACCTCCGAGAGAGAGAGGCCTGACAGCCCACGCCGCCCGGGAGCGGGCGGTGTCTTCACAGGGCACCTGCGGTCGAGAACCCTTTGCTCTCCGCGTGTCGTGCCGCGGGGTGCTGGCCCACCACGCATCGGCGCGGCAAGCTATCCCTAAGTCGGGCACGTCCCTCTACAGGGGGCAGATTCCAAAATAGTAAAAAATAGCCTGGGGACGTTTTTTTTTAAGCATTTGTTTGGGCTACTTTTTGACTATTCTGTGGGTATGGATCGTTTTCCCTCCAAGATCCCCCTGTAGGGGGACAGGCCCGACCCAAAGCTATCCACGTCGCGGTCCCTGAACATCGCCTTCCCGGGCTTCCCCCCGCACCCCTCCCCGCGGAGCGGAGCGGCGCGCTGCTCGCCTGCAGGCGCAGGGCCCCGGACCGCGTGCCCGATGTGTCGGCGAGCTGTCGCCGCTTCCTGCTCGATGTCTCCTCCTCCTCCTCCTCCTCCTCCTCCTCCTCCTCCTCCTCCTCCTCCTCCTCCTCCTCCTCCTCCTCCTCCTCCTCCTCTCCTCCTTCCCCCTCCTCCTCTCCTCCTCCTCCTCCTCCTCCTCCTCCTCCTCCTCCTCCTCCTCCTCCTCCCCCATGCGCTCCCCTGGAGCGTGGGTCCCCTCTTCCGAGAAGGTGCGGGCCTCTGCTGCAGATGTTAAGGGCCGGCGCCCGCCAAGAAGCGGCCCCCTGCGAAGAAGCCTAGCCCACCTCCCCCTGCACTCCTGCGCGCGCCGCCAGGGCTTGCAGAGATTTCCGATTTAGTCTAACCCTCGTTGTCGTGGTCCTCCTCCTCCTCCTCCTCCTCCTCCTCCTCGTCGTCGTCGTTGTCGTCGTCGTCGTCGTCGTCGTCGTCGTAGTCGTCGCCGTAGTCGTCGTCGCCGCCCTCGTCGTGGTCGTCGTCGGTCGTCCTCGTCGTCGTCGTCGTCGTCGTCCTCGTCCTCGTCGTCGTTGCCGTCGTCGTCCTCGTCGTCGTCGTCGCCATCGTCGTCGCCGTCGTCGTCGTCGTCCTCGCCGTCGCCAGACATGTTCCCCCTCAGGAAGGGCCGGGCGGCGCGGCTCGGCCGGCCCGCGCTGCCCGCGCAGGCGCCGCCCCGGCGGCGGCGGCGGCGTCGCCTCGCCAGGGAGCAAGCTGGCGGCGCGCCGAGGGGGGCAGGGGGAGGGGAAAGGCTTCTCAGAAGCACCCCCGCGTCTTGGAGGTCGCGGGCCTTGTCTGCAGATGTAAGGCCCGCACCTTCCAAGGAGCAGCCGCCTTCTAAGAACCCTTCCCCCCTCCCCCATACAGCCCTTTTGCGCGCTGCCGAGCAAGCGGATCCAGGGAAACGAGCCTTGAGGATGTTGGCCGATCTTCCAGGCCTCCGACGTGTCGAAACCAAGTAGGCGCAGTGTTGTTCGTCGTTTGCGACCTCCGAGGGCCCTCGCCAGGCCACGGGGCAGTCAAAGAGCAGCTCAGGATGAAAGGCCCGGCCCGGGGGCAGGGGCCGGGACTTCCGAGGACCCCGTGTTGAGATAATTGAGGCATCGGATCACTGGCCTCGGGCTCTCGGGACCCTGCCAGGGTCCCAGAGCTGTCAGAGAGCGGCTCGGGACGAAGAGTTGGCTCCGGGAGAAGGCCCCGGGGTCCAGGACCCGTTTCCCTCGGGACCCGTTCTTTTCATGCCAATCGACCTCGCAGGATCCACTTCGATCTGGTTCTCTCTCTCTCTCTCTCTCTCTATATATATATAAAAGATATAGATTCTGGCCAGGCCGATCCGATGCGATTCCGACATTCCGAATGTCCGATGCGACCCGATGCTTACATGGCTTTGTCGTGCATCCTAGCGCAGCCGATCCCGTTCGATCTCGACTCCGTGCCGATGCAGCCCGATCCGACGCACAATCCGCTTCGATCCGACTCCCCGCTTCGACGCTGACTGAGCCGTCGTCGTCGTCGTCGATCTCGTCGCTCCCGTCGCCTCGGAGGTGTCCGAGACGCTTCTGGTGGCCCCGGCTGTGGGCGCGGCTCGAGAAGCCGGCCAGGATGGGCCCCGGGCGCGGGGCGTGGGGGGTCCGCGTGCCCCCCCGCCCGAGTGCCGGCAGGAGCGGGGCCGAGGGCCGAGGTGCTCGAGAGCGCCGCCCTTCCTTTTTCCCTCCGGGTGGAGCGGCTGTGTGCCCCCCGGCCCGACTGCCGGCGGGGGCGGGGCCGAGGGCCGAGGTGCAGCGCCGATCGAGTGCTCTCGGCATCGCTCGGACGTGTGCATGTCTCCTTCGGTGAGGACCATCGAGGAGCATCCTTGCTCATTTGGCGAGAAAGCCGTGCACGAAACCTAAGAAAGCACGGGGAATGGACGTCCGAGCGATGGCGAGTGCTCGGCATCCGGTCGAGGCGCGGCACCTCGACCGAGGCGGCAGCACGAGCGAGGCGATGGGGCCGCGGACTCGCTCGCGAGCGCCTCGGGCGCTCGAGCGCCGTCTCCCCTCTGCTGTTAATCTGCCAGCCCCCCCGGGAGAGGCTCCTCGTCGCCGCGGCCAGCTCCCCTTCTCGCGGCTCTGCGCGCGCGACCCTGCCGCCCTCGAGCACGCCCCCGGGACCCCCTCGAGTCATGCAAAAATCACGACGGGGGGTCTTTCGCCTTTTCCGGCCTCTGGGGGCCCTTGCCGGGCCTCGGGGCCGTCAAAAAACGGCTCGGGATGAAAAACCGGTCCCGGGGAATAGGTCGAAACTTTTGGGGGTCGACGTCATGAAAAAATCAAGACGTCGGGGGTCTGGGCCCGTGGGGGGGGGGGGGCTCCGGGGGCCCGGCCCTGCCTTGGAGAGGGGGAGGGAGCCCCGCCACGCAGAAGCGCGTTGTCTGCTGGAGGTGCTCGCCGGTCTCGAGCCCGCGAGGCCCGAGCGGGGCCTCTGCGGAGAGACTCGGGTTGTTAAGTCGGGCCTGGCCCTCTGCACAGGGGGAATCTTCAAGAATGGTCAGAAAAATGCTCTGGGGGCTATGTTTTGAATATGTTTTGCCATGTGGGAGCCTTTTGTTTCGTACTTTTTACTTTTCATCGCAAGTCCCCCTGCGTAATTAGGGGGGCACGCCCGACTGGACACTTGGGACGAGAAGCCGGCCCCGGGGAAGGCCGCCGGGGCCGAGGGCCCAGCTCTCAGTCAGAGGGCCCCCGTCCGAGGGCGAGGAGCGCGCGTCTCCCGGGAGCGCGCGCCCACGTGGCCCCCGCATAGGCGGCGCCTCGTGGCGCTCCGGCCAGGGGCCGCCCCGCCCTCCGCCTCGGAGCCTTCGGCCGGGAGGGCGCCGCCCTCGAGGGAGGCCCAGACCCCCGACGTCGTGATCTTTTCATTCTAGGGGCGGCGGCCTGTCTTCCCATCTTACCATCATCCCAGACCCCCTCGAGTTGTGAAAAAATCACGACGGGAGATTTTTCATTATTTCTGGCCTCTGGGGGCACTTACCGGCCCTCGGGACCGTCAAAAAACGACTCAGGACGAAAAACCGGTCCCAGGGAATGGGTCCAGACAGCTGGGGGTCGACGTCATGAAAAATTCACGACGTCGGGGGTCTGGGATAGGGGGATGCGAAGTCCCTGAAGACGGGACGGGGTGGGCACGAGCGGGCATCATAGCCGGCTCAAAATCAAAAGAGGCAGCATAGCCTCATCAGTCCAGATTGATCCACCCACGGATCCACTGCAATTGATTTCCATTGAATTCATTCCATTCGTAGCATGCTCTCCCCTCGAGCAGTGACAAAATCACGACGGGAGGTTTTTCGTCATTTTCAGCCTCTGGGGGCCCTTGCCGGGCCTCGGGGCCGTCAAAAAACGACTCAGGATGAGAAGCCGGTCCCAGGGAAGGGGTCGAAACCTCTGGGGGTCGACGTCATGAAAAAATCATGACGTTCATGACGTCGGGGGTCTGGGTCTCGACCTCTTCCCTGGGGCCGGCTTTGCATCCAGGGACCGAAAACCATGAAAAACCTTCCGCCATGATTTTTCATAGGGGGACATAAACATAAAAACTCAGAGGCCCGCGCGGATTTCTCGGATCGGCGCTGGGGCCCCCCGGCGGCGCCTCCGGCTCCGCCCCTGGCGCGCTCCGCGCGCCAGGGAGGGCGTCCAGCGCCGATCCGAGAAATCCGCGCGGACCTCCGAGTTTTTATATTTCTGCCACTTTTTGTCCCCCTATATTTCACTACTCGAGGGGGTCTCCACCTCGGAGCCTTCGACTGGGAGGGCACCGCCCTCGAGGGCGGAGCTGGCGGCGCTCCCTCGGCGGACGGCGGCGCAGGGCCGGCGGGAGCCGGCGGGAGCCCAGCCGCTAGGCAGCCTGGCGGGAGGCCGGAGGCAGCCTGGCGGGAGGAAGGCTCCGCCCGCGCCCTGCAGGGTCGATGTCGGGGGACCGACTCGTTCCCGAGAGGCCACCAGCGCCACCGGCGCCTCTCGGGGCGCAGGGGGGACACGATCGCGTCTTCACAAAACAAAACCAAAAACAGGACGAGGGGTTTGGGGCTATTCTCGGCCTCGGGGGGCCCTCGCCGGGCCTCGGGACCGTCGAAAAAACGACTTGGGACGGAAAACCGGCCAAAACCGGTCCCGGGGAAAGGGTCGGGACTTCTGGGGACGCCGTCCTGAAAAAATCTGTGCGTCGCATGTCTGGGGACGGGGGCCGATGAGGTCGGGGGTCAGCCAGAGCGCGGGATCCTGCAGGATCCTGCAAAGCCAGGGTTGCACGAATCCCGGTCTGGCGCGCAGGATCCTGCAATCGATCCTTCAGGATCTTGCACGACCCTGCAGAGGTCGACGGGCCTGGGTTTGCATTGGCCCGGGTCAGAAGAACCCCGAGCGACGGCAGGCTTTGTTCACGCTATGTCAGCCACGCGCAGAGGGGGGTGGGGGGAGGGGGGGGGCTTCTTAGAAGCACCCCTGCTTCTTAGAAGGTGGGGGCCTTATCTATAGATGTAAGGCCGGCGCCTTCTGAGAAGCAGCCTCCTTCTAAGAAGCCCCCCCCCCTCCCCCCCACCCCCTTGTGCGCGCCGCCAACTATGGGCCATCCCTCCCCTTCTCCCCGTATCCTCGCTCACCCCTCCCTCCGCACGCCTCCCCACGGAACACGGGAGTCAGCCTGCCAGCAGCGGCCAGCGGGAAGCTTGTGCCCAGGAGGCGCTCGAAGGAAGTCAGGGTGGACGGCAAAACGTGTCTCTCGGCCGCATGCAGGCCACAATTCTCTCGTATGAGCCCGCTGCCCTCCTCCTCCCCTCCCCCCTTCCTCCCCCCTGTACCCTTTCCTTTCCTTCCCCCATCCCCCAGAGGAGGACATTCCGAATGGTGCTGATGGCGGAGGAGCAGGGATGATGATGGTGATGAGGAAGTGAGAAGGGGGATGAGGATGAGGATGATGATGATGATGATGATGATGATGATGATGATGAGGAGGAGGAGGAGGAGGAGGATGAGGAGGACCTGAGTAAACACAGGATGCATCAACGATGCTGCAATACATCTTCCCGCCCCAAGTCCTCCCTTTTCTCAACACGAGAAGCCTCCCCTTGAAAGACGGGTGCGCTGTGGGCTTCCGACATGCCTGTATTGAAAATGATAGCGTCAGCGATGTGACAAGCAAGAGCCCTGTTTCAAAAAGAACTCCTCTTCCTCCTCCTCCTCCTCCTCCTCCTCCTCCTCCTCCTCCTCCTCCTCCTCCTCCTCCTCCTCCTCCTCCCCCCCTCCTCCTCCTCCTCCTCCTCCTCCCCCTCCTCCTCCTTCCTCCTCCTCATCCTCCTCATCCCCCTCTCCTCCTCCTCCCCTCCCTCCTCCTCCCCTCCTCCCTCCTCCTCCTCCTCCTCTCCAGTCCTCCTCCTCCTCCTCCTCCTTCTCCTCCTCCTCCTCCTCCACCTCCTCCTCTTCCTCCTCCTCCTCCTCCTCCCCCTCCTCCTCCTCCTACCCTTCTGATCCGTGCAGTCGTGCACGATGTTTACACTCTTGGCCACCAAGGTACGAGGAAGTTTCGAGCGAGATCACCATGTGGAAAAGGAATGGCCCTCCATCGCCTTCCTCCGTGCAGCTGAGCTTAAGTCGGGCCTGTCCCTCGACATGGGGAATATGCCCAAATAGTCAAAACATAGTATGGGGACTATTTTGTTTGTAGGTTGGCGCATTGTTTGCATATTTTTCATTTTTCGCCCCAAATCCCCCTGCAGGGGGACAGGCCCGACCTAAAGCGAAACCTGTGTCAGTTCCCTGGCAGGAGGTCCCAAGCAAGAGCCCCACTATGAAAAGGAGCCATCCTCTATCCATGCTAGTGTCAATTTTCACACGAATGCGCGCAACGCTGAGGCGAGATAGCCCACGTTGGAGAGGTGCCGCACTCTGTTCTCACAGTTGCTGCCAGAGTTGAAGACGAATGCGCGAGACGCTCTGGCGAGAGTCCCGCTCTGAACATGTAATATCGTCCTTACGGATAGCTACTGCAATCTTCGAAGGCGAATGCACGCGGCGTCGAGGTTTGAAAGGATCTCACCCTCCATCCTTGTAGCTGCTGGACACGCTAAGGAATTATTGGGTGATGTTCCCTGGTGTTACGGCAGGGAGGAGTTATTGATAAGGGAGAAGGGATGGACGAGGACGGATGGGAGGGAGGACCGTTGGGAGGGGAGGAGGAGAGGGAGAAGCATAAGAAAGGTATGAGGAGGAGGAGGAGGAGGAGGAGGAGGAGGGAAGGAGGAGGAGGAGGAGGAAGGAAGGAGAACGGGAGGGAGGAGCAGGAGGCGGTGCCCCTATACACTCGCTCGCCCTCGATCCTCACGCGTGGCCGCGTGCCCCCTGGGCTCTCTTGCCGCCGGGAGGCCCGCACGTCCATGCCGCCCCTGCCGCCGAGGGACCGCCCGCGGACAGCCCGGGGCGGGAACGCCTGTGTCACTACATTAAACCCGCATAGTGAAAGATGGGCGACTTTCAAAGGTCACTCCAAATCCCTTATTACTCGACCCCCCCTAAAAAAACCGGACCCCCTCCGACTGCGACCTGATATTCCGGACCCTTCTCTTCGACGGGGCGCCTTCATACACCAGACCCCCTAAATTCCAATCCAAAGGAAGCGCCCTAATAAGCCGGACCCCCCTAGTTGCAAAACAGGCGCCTTAAAAACCGAACCTTGGGGACGATTAGTAAGGGATTTGGAGTACCCCTGCGTCCTTCCCTTTGGGCCCATCCTTGGCCGCTTTCGCTGGCCGCGCCCCGCTCGCAAGGTGTCGACATGGCCTCCCAAGGCCCCTTGCGTTCTTAGCGTGCGTCATCTTTATACGGGCTGACTGTAGTACCAAGTTTCTGCTACAACCCTCGGCGGAATTCACCCCAAAGTGGTCGGCACGCCACTTCAACGTCGCCCACTTTGACCCATGCAGTGTCGCCCCCCTTCTAGGCCGAAGAAGAGCGAAACGCGATCTGGGCGGGTGCGACTCGAAAGTTCCACGATGACCGCCACTGCAGAGGAGGCGCCAACAAGCACCTTGCGCGCGCGACAACGAAATTGCCCGACACTGATTTTGCCTGGGTGGTAGTACCACGCTTCTTCTAGCTCTTCGGACACGTCTCCTGACACGTCCAGCTCGTGTGAAGGATCGTTGGAGGTGATGTGATCGGTGTCCAGATCGAGTTCAGACCGATAGAGCCTGCGCACTGCAATTCTGGGGGAAGTATACGCCAGCCGTGCTTGTTTTGTCTATGCTGGACGATGCTTCCGTCTCGTGCACATGTGTGCAGGTCGCTATCTGGGGTTCTCTGGCAAGGGCATCGCCTTCGAGGGATCGCAGGAGTTGGTATCGTTGTCCCAGCGTGGACGGCGGAGATACAGGAGGCGCCCCAAGAGAGGAACGTTTGTTTGGGTTCAGGAGTTCCAGGACACGCCATCTGCGCATGCATTGGGCGTCGCGTGCGGGGGGGGGGGGGGCGAGAAACGGAGAGCAGCGAGGGCTGCAGGAAAGGGGCCTCTGAGGGCCCGTGCAGGGGACCTTTAGGACCCAAAAGGGTGTCTCAAGGGCCCGTGCGCACGCATCTGCATACCCGTTTACCTACATGTCCAGCTAGGTGGTTACGTCCATGACCACTTGTAAAAGAAGCCACTGCCGTGCTCAACGCACCACCGCCTCTGGGCGAGAGGGTCGGAGCAGCACCGCATCCACCGCCAAATGCGGGAGCGGGAGTGCCTGGCAAGGCACTCGGCAGGAGGCCAGGACTGCCACCCGAAGGGCCGGTCCCGGCGGCAGGGGGGACAAAACCCGTCGGCAAACCACCGCCGCTGTGCCTTGTTCTGGGAACGTGGCGACCACAAGCTTTAAATAGAGCGCTACCCCACGAACACGACGCGGGGAGGGGGACGCGCTTGCCGCCCCCCCCCTCCCCCCCTCCACACCCGGCACCCGACAGGGGGGGGGGGGGGGCGAAAGGGGGAGCGGGACTTGCCAGGAAACGACTCCGAACGCAGAGCTGGCCACTGGTCAGGAGGAAAAAAGAAGGCACAAACACAAAGAAGCGTCGGTGGAAGGGGAAAGGAGGGGAAGACGAGCTTCCAAAAATATGGGAAATATTGGATATTGCGAATTGTTTTTATTGTGCTGGCCTCCGGCCAGTGCCGCCGATCCCGGGCGCTCCGAATGATGATGATGATGATGATGATGATGATGATGATGATGATGATGATGATGATGATGATGATGATGACGACGGAGATGGTGATGGTGATGGTGATGGTGATGGTGATGGTGATGGTGGCGATGATGATGATGATGATGATGATGATGATGATGACGATGATGATAAGTAATGATGATGATGTGTATCATGGTAATGGCCGTTGTGAAGAATATGAAGATGGCGATGACGACGACGGTAATCATGATTGTGATGCTGGTGATGGTGATGGTGGTTGTGATGATGATAGCGGTGTGCCCACAATAATGCTGATAATGATGACGGTGATGTTGATGTTGATGATGTGAATTCTCAGGGTACGCTTCTCGTGCCGTCGTGAGGCCATCTTGGGCGTCTTCAACCGATGATTCGTTGATTCGGAGCTTTTGGGGGGCCTCTTGGGCCCTGTTGGCCCGTCTTGGGCCTCTCTTGGGCTCGAAAAAGTCATGCGGGAACATTCTGGGGGCCCCAGAGGGCGCGCGGGGAGCCCCAAGAGATCCATAAGGGCTTCGCCCCATGCCGCCGGCCCCCTGTCTCGAATAATGGGAGATGCAAAAGCTAAACCAGGAGTTCTGGGCGCCGCCGTGAAGCAGTGTCGGGACCTGTTTGTTTTTCGACCGTGACCCTACGGATCTGCGTCATGGGTGCCACCGGATTTCAGAAATGTGGCAAATCCTTGATGTTGTTGGACCCTGACCCCACGGATCTGCCGGGTGCCGCCGAATTTCAAAAATGTGGCAAATCCGCTGTGTTTTTGGACCCTGACCCTGCCGATCTGCGTGAGGGGGGCCGCAGAATTTCAGAAATATGGCAAATCCCATGTGTTTTTGGACCCTGACCCTGCCGAATTGGTGAGGGAGCGACCGAATTTCCGAAATGGAGCAAATCCCATGTGTTTTTGGACCCTGACCCCGCCGATCTGCGTGAGGGGTGCCAGCGAATGTTAGAAATGTAGCAATTTCCCTTTGTTTTTGGACCCTGACCTTGCCGATCTGCGTGAGGGGTGCCAGCGAATGTTAGAAATGTGGCAAATCCTTTGTATGTTTGCACCCTGACCCCGCCGATCTGCGTGAGATGTTAGAAATGTGGCAAATCCCCGGTGTTTTTGGACCCTGACCCCGCCGATCTGCGTGAGTGGTGCCAGCAAATGTCAGAAACATGGCAGATTCCGTTTGTTTTTGGACCCTGACCCTGCCGATCTGCGTGAGGGGCGCCACCGAATTTCAGAAATGTGGCAAATCCTTTGTGTTTTCGGACCCTGACCCCGCCGATCTGCGTGAGGGGTGTAAATTTTTACCCCCCCAGAAATTCTGAGAACCCTCCCAGGGCGTGGTAAACATGCCCGTTCTGGGCCTCCCCCCTCGCGCGGTCCATCAACAAGGAACAGTAAGCAGCAAGAAGCAGAACTGTAACAAGGAACAGTAAGCAGCAAGAAGCAGAACTGTAACAATGGAAACTGGAAGCTGCAACTGTCACAGGAAACTGCGAGGCTTCGGCCTACAGCCTGGTGGCCCCACAAGGGGGCTGGCGGATTTGAGAGCTCGGGGTCCGGGCCCATTAAGAGTCCTCAGGCTTGAGGACTGAGGCTCAGGGACCTGGGGAAGCCTCTTGGGGGTCGTTTTGGGGTCTCTTGGGGCCTCTGTCGGGCCTCTTGGGGGCCTTCTGGGGGCTTCTTGGGTGCCTTTTGGAGGGGGAAAGGCTGTGATTTTCGGTTCGGGTTCCCCCTCTTGGGCCTCTCCTGGGGCCGTCTTGGAGCCCTCTTGGGCCGGCTGGGGCGTTTCTTGGGCCGTATTGGAGCCCTCTTAGGCCGTTTCGAGTTCGTGTTGGGAGCCTCTTGAGCCGTCTTGACGCGGTCTCGGGGGCCTCTGGGACCGTCGGCAACGTCGCGAAGGCCGAAATATCGTACAGGGTAAAAGTGTACGCTTTCCCATAGGAATTGGACGGTTTTGACCTCGTGGGTCTCTCTGCGCAGGTGGTTGGATACCTATTGGGGCGTCTTGGAGGCGTCTCGCGAGCACGACATGCGTCGGGAATGGCGTTTAAAATGGCGTCGGCCCCCTCCCCCTCCATGTTCAGAGCGTCGGAACGGCGTCGGGAATGGTGTGGGCCCCCCCGCCCCCGAGCACTAAATGCGTCGGGAATGGCGTCCCCCACCCCGCCTTACTGGTGTGGACCCCCCGCCCCCGAGCACTAATTGCGTCGGGAATGGCGTCCCCCCTCCCCCCCCCTTGCAGAGCGAAGCTTGAGCGAGCTCAAGTCCACGCTCTCAGAAGCTCACACGCCAGATCGGTGGATTTCTTGAGATGGCCTGACGGCCGGTGCCGCCGATGACGAGACTGAGAAGAAAGAAGAGGAGAAGGGGGAGCAAGGGGCAGCAGGAAGAGGTAAGAGGAGGAAAGAGCAGGAGAATGATAAGCAGGAGGAGCCGCATGGAGAGGAAGAGGAGAAGGAGGAGGAGGAGGAGGGCGCCGAGGAGAAGGAGGAGGTGAAGAAATAGGAGGAGGAGGAGGAGGAGGAGGAGGAGGAGGAGGAGGAGGAGGAGGAGAAGGACGACGACGACGACGACGACCACGACGACGACGATGACGACGACGATGACGACGTTTGGAGCGCTCCCGGGACCCGTGTGGGTAGTTGTGGAACCTCTTGGGCAATTCTTAGGAGCCTCTCGGGGGCCGCGTGGAGACGTCTGGAGCCATCTGGGAGCGATCTGGGGGGCGTCTGGGGCCGTCGGGCGGCGTGAGGACGCCGGAAAGGCGAGGCGCGGGGAGCCTTGAATAAGTTGAGATAAAAAAGTGCATGATTGTGACGGCGACGACGACGACGATGTGGACGTGAGTCAGATTACAGAGGGATGCGTCACCATCATCGTGTCTCTCATCATCGTGTCTACCGTTGTCGGCGTCGCCATGATACCGCGCCCGCCCACGTCACCGACTCGCACTGAAGTGTCCGCTGGAAGTGCCCGGCGGTCGGCGCCACCGCGGCCGCGTCCGTCGCGCCGCACTAACTGGTCGCTGCGCGCGCGAGCACATGCGGGCTAGAGCGGCCGCAGAGACGCACCAGCCAACGCCAAGCTCTCATCGCAATCGCCGTCGCCTGGGTTGTGCAAACCAAGTTGCGGGTGGGTGAGTGGGATGTTTGCGCGAGCAGTGGAGTTGACAGCTTCAAATTCGGCAGGGCGGGCTGCACTACATAGGTTGCACCCCATACACTGACCCACGTAGAACGCACAATAAGCTAGAAACGCGTTGTTTGGGATACACGTTGGCTGGCGCATGTTTTACCGCACGATCTATCATCGTACGTGGTCACTATAGCACGACGGCTGCCGGGCGATCCGCCAGCTGCTCCCCCCCCAGGAGTCGGAGCAGGGAGGGCCGCCAGGCCGATCGCTGGCAGGACCGCCGCCACGCGGGAGGGCGACGGCACGGAGGCGGCCCTCCGGGATGGGCTGGTGGCCCCCTCCAAGCGATCCCCAACCTGTGCTTCGATGTTGCGAAGGCCTTACGGCCAGTGCCGCTGACCCGGGACCTCCGCGAAGGACCTCCCCCCCCGCAGGGGGTACCCCTCCCTCTGCCCCGGCTGTCCACGGGAGGGACCGCCCCTCGGGGCCCGCTGGGACCCCCCGGGGGGCGGTGCGCAATCCGACTCGGGACCCCCCCGTAACCCCCTCCCTGCATCATTGCGTCATTCTTCCTTCTTGATCAACCCCTCCCCCAGGCGACCGGCAGCTAACAAGGACCAACGAGACCCCCCCACCATCCCTATCAGAAAACTATATGAAGTCCACTTCGGGGCAAAAGTTTGGGTCATGCTGGGGGGGGGGCGCGAGCACGTTGTATTCTTTTTCGAAAGGAACGGCGGGAGTGCCCGCATACTTCCTGCTGTGCGCATCCTTGTTAAGAAACAATACAACATGCATTTCGAGGCAAAGTCTGGATCATGCGCGGGCACCCCGCGATTACTGTGCATTGGTTTCGACTGGGACGGCGGAGTTGCTAGCAGATTGCCTGCTATGTGCAGGCCAACCAGACGCTATGATGGCCACCCCGCCGCGATTGCGCACTGGTTTTTGACAAGGGCGTTGCGGGCCGACACGTTTCCCGAAGTGCATTGCCATGCGCGCAGGCGCACCTGGCACGCTTTGCGCGTACCCCGAACGTTGCGCATTTGGCGCGGCTGGAGCATGCGGCACGCATGGCGCGCGTGGATCAAGCCCCCGCCCGTAGCCCACCCTGTCAGGGAAGGGTGGAAAGGGAAAGAACTGGACTTAACTATGACGTTGTTTTTGTTCTTTCCTCAACTTCTTTGAGACTGGTGACGACGACGGCGACGAAGACGACGACAGCGCCTCGCACACGCCGAAGGGACGGCGGATGCTTCTTGGGGACCTTCGGGCCCGCCTACCAGATCTGCCCGACTCTGCTTCGGATCTAGTTCGACTCAGGTTCTAGTCTGGCTCGACTCCAGTTCGACGCATGCCGGCAGACGTTCAGCGCAGCATCGACGCATGAGTGGAGCGAGGGGCTCAGAGGCGCTTCTCAGGGCGAGCATAGCTCAGGAGGGAAAGAAACGCACAGACACAATGAATCCTCAATTCCCCAGAACATATGGGAAACTATGGGAAGTGGGGGGGAAGACAGAAACCCAGAAAATATAGGAAAATATCGGAAACTATGGGGAATATTTGTATCTGTGTGTATTTATTTGTGTGTCCTGGGGCCCCTTCAATTAGTCAGCTCATGTTCTGCATGCTCGCTATCTAAGCTCTCGGATGCCACGCCGCCTCGCCAGATGGCCTGGGCGAGGACATCTGCGGTATTTACGTACGCCCCTCCTTCATGCCAGCGCGCGCGCGGGCCCCCCCCCCTCCTGGTCGGTTTCCAGCCTCAGCGCTCCTCCCGCCCGGACAGTAGCCCTAGCTTGGCCCTTCTTGCCAAGCAGAGTATGGACACACTATTCACCTCTACTGCTTCGAAGGTCCTTTGATTTTTTGGGGGGCCCAGATCCTTTCATTTCTAATTGTTCTATCCTGGGCTTCTTCCTGGCCACTAGGGGGTCAGGAACCATGAGAAACGAGCACGATTAGAAATGAGCACGATTAGAAGTGAAGGACGTGGAGATGAGGACATGTTCTGACACCACGCCACCACTTGAGGAATCACGATTGGCGTCGCCGGTCTTGACCCGCGCAGCAAGCCGCCGGCGTGCCACCGCGGACGGGGCCGAGCGCCCCCCGGGTGGCCAGCGCCTCGAGGGAGCGAGAGAGAGAGGCCGTCGGAGCTCCAGGCTGCGGCCGCCCCCCGGCCAGGCTCTGCGAGTCCGCGGAGACTGCCGCCACTTTTGCGTCGCAGCCGCAGGCGAGAGCGCCAGCGGCGAGTAAAGTCCGAGCGGGCCGCGCAAGAGCCTAATTGCCTAACGCCGACGGGCCGGCGGCCTAAGCAGCACCTATGGAGACTGCCGCCACACGCATAGACAAAACAAAACAAATACAGAGAAAAGCTCCAATCAGTGGATGGTTTTCGCTGAGGAGATCGACCAGGAGCCCGGGAACCCAGAGCCCACCGAAATCGGCCCGGAGCCAGTAACCGGGGACCCGGGAGCCCGGAAGCGGGAACCCGGGAACCCGGCTTGCCACCAAACTCGGCGGTAAAGTTTCGCCAAAGTTGTCAACCTCTGCTAGGACCCGTTCAGCGCAAGCACGGATTGGGGGAAAAACGCGCACACACACATGCACACGTGTTGGCGTCGCGGCTACGCGCGCGGCGGCGCGGCCTAGAGCGGGTCAAGCGAGCGCGCGCACCACCCCTGGCTCACGCCACGCCGCGAATTGCAGCCGGACTTCCACCTCACAGAGGGCCGACGGCAACGCGCACGGGCGGGCGAGGGCAGTCGTAAGGGGACGGGCGGGCGAACTCAAACAGTGGCGAAGCGTCGTGGCTCGCGTATGGGCCTACCAAAGAATGTTCTAAGAACTCGTTGTGGTTACAGCGACATGTTCTTAGAACATTTCTGGCTGGGAGTGTCTTGTTTGAACGCATCGGGTCTATGCTCTAAAAACACTGTCCTTGCCATTCGAACACTCACGGGTTCTGAGAACATTTCGTGGTAGGCCTACAGGAATGCCGGGACGGTCGGCCCCTGCTCAACACACGCGCACACACACACACACGTGTTGGCGTCGCGGCTGCGCGCGCGGCGGCGCGGCGTAGGACATGTCAAGGGAGCGCGCGCACCGACCCGGCTCACGCCAAGAGGAGCAGCCGGATGCACCTCGCAGGTGGGCCGACAGCCTCACGCACGGGGGGGGAGGCAGCCGCAAGGGGGACGGGCGGGGGGAGCGAGGGGCAGAGAAAGAGGAAGACCGTAGGCGGCGCAACGGCGCCGAGCAGCAGGCGGGGCGCAGCGAGAGACATGCGCGCACACACACACACACACACACACACACACACACACACACACACACGTGTGTTAAGTCGGGCCTGTCTCTCTACAGGAGGAATATTCAACAATAGTCAACAAAAGATTGTCTGGGCACGATGTTTTGACTATTTTCCCGTATTTTGTAGCATTTTTGACTATTTTCCATTTTTCGTCCAAAATCCGCCTGTAGGGGGACACGCCCGACCTAACACCTGTCAGCGACGACGTGGGACACGAGGCGTCCAAGGGCAGCAGTTGGGCCGCGGCCGAGAGAATCGCGCGCCGACGCGGGTGGAGAGGGAAGGGAGCGGCCGCGGAGGAGGACGGCGTATGGAGCCGCGCTCAGAGCGCGCAGCACTTTACGAGTGGTGTTGGCGGCCTCATGCTCCCGAGGCCCCCCAACCACACACACACACACACACAGACACAGACACAGACACAGACACACACACACACACACAGACACACACACACACACACACACATCCGGTAGCTTCGCGTCGTGACGACGCGACGGCGACCTTAGCGCAGACGTTCAAGGCTGAACACCGCTAGAGGAATGGAATCCGTCGCGAACGATCCGCGCCATTGGAAAGCCGCGGTCGCTCAAGGCTAAACAAGCCAGTCAAGATCAGAAGCCAGCGCCAGTGTCGCTCTGGCACGACGAATTTGCCGCACGTGCATACTCTCTTGGTTGGCGAACCCACCGTGTCGCAGGTATGGAGGCGACGACGTGCGCAGATCCTGCGAGGGCAACCACAGGAACCGAATACTAAGGTACACGCTTAAACAAATACTCTAGATTTCGTAATAAAAAGGAGGGGGTCTGGACCCTCCAAGACAAGCCATTTCAGACCTCCCCCGTGGGAGAACCCTCCCAAACATCGTCCCCAGACCCCCCCAGGCC